CGACTGGGATTGAACCCAGGCCTGCTGGGGTGAGAGGTAATCACGCTTACCACTACACCACCGGCGCCGCTATATATAGTACTTGATACAGCAATTAAATATGATTGAATAATAGCAACTGCAGATTATAATACCGTGGATCCTGGTAATCTGACAGTCCTTAATTTGAACACTTTTAAACTCCACTCATCTGCACGCCGTACAAACTAAAAATTGCTCAAACGTCATTTAGCCCATAGTGAAATCGAACTATGCGAAACGGAACGCAGCATCAAAACAAAACAGCAAATAAGGCTACAAGAAACTTGTTTTTCTGCTGGAAATAGGGTTGCTAGAAGTTCAAATGAAAAATGAACCCCGTTTATTTGCACGAAGCGTGGTTCAGATTAACGGGGGTCTACGGTACTAATAAAACAATTTAAGTAATAAAAAATAATAATAAAATAATATATGAAGTGATATACTGCCCATAATCGCATATCAGTCCCATATGGATAAGAAATCAAGCAAAGATAGGACTGCTATGCGATTATGGGTAGTATAGATCCTGTCGTGTAGGGTATTACCACAAACGAAGTTACAGACGACTAACTGGCGAAGAAATCCATTAAAATAATGTGGTTCACTGTAATAGAATTTTCTTGGAAGCTTGTGCCATCATCCACCAGATGGGTTAGTTTTTTTTGTTTTGATTTGAACAAAGTTGATTTTGTGTACAATGATTCTTTGACAGTGTGCAAAGAGTGCGTATCATTTTGTAATTTTTTAATGTATTTCAGTTTTGAGTAGAGTGAATGAGATAGAACCAAAACATTCTAGTACATTTGGTGAAAATGCTAGTTCAATCTAATAGTAGTGTTGCCATGTGGTACAATCCAGTAGTAGTGGTGTTGCCATGTGGTACACTGAAAAATTGCAATAGCAGGTTAGTCACCAAAGTTTTCGAGCCGCTCCGTCTGTCACTTCGTTTGTGGTATTACTAACAATCAATACGAAACTAACGATTTTAAATTAGCTCACTACTTGACTAGCCAATTGGTCCCAAGCAAACGATTAACGTACCCCAATCTAGTCGAAATTCTAGTACTGCACTATGTTTGTTTTGATTCGCAATGAAAGTTTGGCAGATAAAATGAGGGGTTAGTGGATTTTCCTATGTTTCGAGGGTTGAATCGATTAGCTTGGGACCGAAGAGAGTACCAGAGCTGAGCCAAAAAGTTGAGCACGTTATTTCGAGACCTTCTAGTCTTAGAGTTACCTCTATGGTATTACGATGTCGATTTATTTTGTCCATTTTATTATCACCATCAGATGAAAGTTTATACACGGATAGAAATCTTCTTATACCTTTTGGCAAATTTGTATTGCTGATTATTCATAAAATGTATAAGTCAACTAATAAGCAGACGCCTTGCAAAAAGTTAATGAAGATCATGCGTCAAATGAAATGTACACATACCATTTTTGCATTATTATAGGACCTATGTGGTTTGTCTTATGGAATGTATAAGGCTGATGTTTTGGCAAAAATGTATAAGTGAAACACATGAATAAAATAATTGATTTTCGTTTCATGTACCGTGTTCAAAGTAGCCCGTCTATTCACATTTCCGACTGTTGTGATGATTATACATGATGAACATTTTCTGCATTAAATTTTGGTCGTTCATATTCTTCTCATTATACACCATAAAGGTATCCCCATTGAATGTACACCAAATCCTATTATCAACTACTTTATTGATTTCATACGAACATGTTTAAGTTCAGTTTAAGTCAGCACAACAAAAATTGCAAGTAAAAATTTAATTTTTCATTGTATTCGTATTGTTTTTTTTTTGGACATATTTAAATTATGGTCAAAACAAAGTTATGCGATTCCTTAAATTAATGATAATCAAACGCATAACTTCAGAAATAACAATCAAAGCAAGGCTTTCAAAAAAATTGATTTACAAAATTGGCAAATCAAAGTTGGCACTTGTGGAGAATAGAAGAACTATGAAAGTGATGATGGTTTCAAAAATTTCCTCGGGGAGGTATACGAGTGCAATCTTAAAATGCTTTTATTTTGCAAATGGAGCATTTTATTTAAATCTGGTTTCTGCTACAGTGGTAGAAAAGCTGAAATCTATGTCTACACATAAAAATCTGAAAAGAAATTATTTTTTCTATATTATATGCATTTTGAGTAGTCCTTAAGTTTTCTACTAACGTAACATTAACCAGATTTAAATAAAATGCTCAATTTGCAAAATAATAGCATTTTAAGATTGCACTCGTATACCTCACCGTGTAAAATTTAGAAACCATCATCACTCTCATAGTTCTTCTATTCTCCACGAGTGCCAACTTTGATTTGCCAATACGCTAAAACTATATTTTGTTGTTCCATCTTTTCGTTTTCCGCGTAAATAAAAAAGTTTTTTTCTTCAATGTATAGGATCCTCTTTATACACTTACGTAGAACACTTTAGATAAAAAAAATATCATCATTTACACTTGTCATATCACTTAATAAGAACACACTGTGATAAAAAGTGGATTGACAGAGTTAATAGTCAGAACTAAATTTTACTTGAAGTGTTTCAACTGTGCAAATTCATTTAAAATTTAAATAAAACTGTCACTGAATAGCTTATATTTACAGCATTAGAAAATATTAGAATGTTTGAGACATTATTGTTAATTTTCTGAAGTTGTAAACGTTGAAAAAAAAATGACACTGAAAATTGAGCAAAATCGTACATACACTACAAAATACTTATTTGTTCAAATGAGTGTTTACCATCTTTTAGAAGAGATGAAATAAAAAAATAATTGGGTTGAGACAATTGCAAAATTCATCTTGGTGGTCAAGTTATTTTAAAACGAGTATAAAAAATGCATTTTAGATTACATGTGATATAAATTTTCGTAAAAATTATATGCTGCCTCAAGTACATAGCTTATTATCTTTTTTTGTTGCTTATAATTAGAGCTTAAAACTTGCCGAAGAAAGTATTAAGCTAAGTTTTCAAATAATAATGCTATGACTGAAAGTTTGTGTGTCCGTTTTATAAACTGAATAGTCCTTACATCAGAAAAGTGTCCAAAGAAGCCCACCACCACGGTACAGATCTGTATAAAAAGCATGCAGACTTTGTAATGATTCACCGCATCAATAAATCATGTAATGTGATCCATTATGAGAATTGGCATTACATTTGTTGTAAGAAAACATGCAGAGGATGTAATAAACCCACCCTTACATTTGAAGTACATGCCATTAATTTTTCGGAAATCCTAACCGATTAGTTCAATCGCCTTAGAGTCTAAAGTAGCGTTTCCAAAATATTTTAAACTTTGACTGGGAAACGGAGTTCTTTGATGCATATAGGTATTTCAAAAATCCTCCCAAAAAGTGTATTAAATAAATTACGGTGTAGATACCTGCGCAGTAATTTCACTGTCGCGGCAAACGCGATTTATTCACTACCGCTGCCGCCACGAATAAATAGCGCCAGTGTGAGTGACCCTTAAAGCTCGCCTTTGAAACCCTTATCGTTATGGTGTGTAACTTAAATATTGCTAATTGTATCTGAAATTGGACTGCCCAAAAAATAAAAAAAAAAGTGATAAAAGTGCACGTTTCCATCAAATCGTTTTAGTGTCTTCGGCGCACTTATTGCTTGCATTATAAGGAATAATTGCACCGAAGACACCCGGAAACTCGCCCTTTTTATCAAACTTTTAATAATGCTCAGTTTGGTGTATAATACGTAGTATGTTAGCTCGGAATATTTTAAACCTCTATGTGCTAATCTAATAGTCCTTAACTAACTATTATCGGTACAGCTCAAAACCGGAATAACCCACTAGCGACAATCGAATTTACTCTCGTTCTATTCATTATACATAGTATCGGAAGTTATAGCACATCATTATGCGATTACAGTGCCCTACTTCCGACACTTTGTAAAGTACAAAACTAGTTCCGGTTTTCAGCTGTACCGATAATATTGTAAATTTTCTTCACCGTCGTCTGTTACCCAGCAAAACAAACACGCCGGTTAAAAATCCTCAATAATATTAATACCGCATAACCGACAGATTCCCACTCCCAGGATCCACAAAATAGATACGCTAATCAGCAGTATCGCCACCACGATGCACCAGTATTGGTTATCAGTATTATCTGACACCGCAATCCGCCCTGGATAGCTAATGCCCTGGGAGGCCAACTCCATGAAAGAGGCTATAATTTCCTCTTAATACTTACCTTTCCCAACTCCGGTTACTGTGCCATACAATCCTCCGGTCCACTTCGCGATTCTCATGTTGATGTGGATGTGTTTTGATTATCGGGGAATTTACGTTTAAAGCCATTGTTTAAGTTTGCTTGTTCCGCCTATGTCAATTGTTGGTCTAGAAATGCTCGTTTGTATACACTCTGCGATCGGAGCGCGAAGTTTGACACTTGATGCTCTAGCAGAGTGTAAGCGAACAAGCATACAATTTTTATGCTTGTTCGCTTACTCTGCTAGAACCCGAGCGTCAAGTGTCAAACTTCGTGCTCCGATCGCAGAGTGTAAATAAACGAGCATAAATTCCACCACAGAGATGGTCTAACGACGTCTAACCAGCCATACAAAAAAATGTCTAACGTTAGTCTCACGTTAGACTAACATGTTAGATCGAAACGAGCTGTAACGTCTAACAGACTGTGTCATATCAGTCTAATATTAGACGAACATTAGACTAACGTTAGACCAAATGTTAGTCTAATGGTCTAACGTGTTAGACTAACGTTAGACTCATGTTAGACTAACCTTCCGTGCTGGGTATGAATGCTCACTGTCGAGTTGACGACTCGGTTGACGACTCGCTCCCATCGTTGAAAACGACCAGGTATAGATTGTTTACCCCCCACTCGAAGACGTAACAAACTGTCAAAATGTGCTGTCAGTTTGTGTTTATATTTACATCCCATTGCAATTTGGCTAATCGCTAGTATAGTTTTCTCACCAACGTTACTATCACGCATCCACTTGCAATGCGGTCAATTAGCTGACTTTTCGTAATTTTCCATACTTTAGCTCATTTTCTGAACTAACTGTGGTGAGACACATCAGTTTGCAAAATGGCAGGACGTGGTCGCGGAAAATCTACCGGTTCCCTAACCCAGGAGCAGCTGCAATCCATGGGTGTAACGAGAAATGAAATGCAAACAGTTTCTTCGGCTGCACCGCCTCCCCTCTATCCAATACTGCAGTCAAAACCGGTTCCGCTAGAGGTTTGTCTTCCTGTTTTCAGTACAATCAGATGAAGGTAAATTGAGTGACTACATATTTCGATTACTTGCTTAAAGGCGAATGCTGATCGCGACTATAAGATCCTTTGGAAGGAGGACTTCATTTCCTTCCTCCGGGAATCACCGTACTACACAATGGTAAAGAGTTGTAAGGGTCCCGTGCAACGGTACTCGGATAAGGTCATTGTAAGTAGATCGATTGAAGTATCTAGGGACGAATTGTAAGTGGGTTAATTGTTTTAGAACGTGATCGAAAACGACCCGAAACGAAAGCAGGATGGAGATTTCATTTGGAGCATGATGCCAGCGGAGTTGAAACCGACCTTCAAGCGGACCAAGGTTAGTAGTGGAACGGCTAATGGAAGATCGAAGGGTGCCAAGAAGGCTAAGGTGGTAGACATCGATGCCAAGCTGAGCGAGCTGGAGAAGAAGGAATCGTTTCAGGACGATACGGACGTCAAGAAGGAGAAGCACAATGATTCCGACGAGGAGAAAGATGATGACGAGCAGGAAGAGGAAATGGCCGACGAGGAGATGGACGATGAAAACGATTATGGCAACAACTATTTTGATAACGGGGAGGGGTACAATGAAGAGGATGACAATTTGGACGATGGTCCAGTCTATTAAACGAATTTGTTGCATCAATACTTTTCTTTATTTAGCAGTTTATAACTTCTATACATAGTGTTCATCTAATGGATACCGTTAGTAAGCGATGTAATTGATATTGTTTTGCGCCATTCCCGGCCTAAACTGGGAAGGTCTTTTATTTTTGTTCGATTACTTACAACGACTTCGTTTGCACTAGGTCCTAAAAGAACGTGTAAATATAACTATGAGAGTACTGTCTAATAGTAGGGTGCAACAAAGGAAATAGATTTTGCTTATAACTTAGTTGTTAACTTAGCCTGATAAGTCATATGTAAATTTGGAATAGAATTTTCTTTATACCATACAAGTTCGTTGCAGACACATTCGTTTTCATTAACTGCAAAACATAAATTACCAAAACGTAAAATCCGAAACCAAGGGTAGAGCTTTGCTAAACAACGACAACAAAGTTCATTTTTGGTATTGGTATCGGAAGATGTGCCTCGATCTTAGGCCCGACTCTAATGCGATCTTGCAATCTCGGAGAAAAAGTCCAGAATGTCTTTGATGGTGAACTCTAGGGTTATCATCGCCCCGGCATAGCAGCGCTGAATCCATAGTTCCAGCGAGTTGTACTGAGTAATGAATTCCTCCTGCATTGCACGCCAAACGACCTGCAGGAGGTTCTCTTCCTCGCAGAGGTGTTTCTCCACCTTCTTGTACAGTTGCTCTAAGCCCTTCTTCACTTCCCGTGCCGGATATTGGGAGATCACTTTTCGCAGTTCCTGCTTCGAGTAGGCCATCTGGTAACTGATTTCGGTTTCCTTGACCCCCTGTTGAACCTTCTGCTGAACTCCCTCGAAGAATTGCTGGAAATGAAAGAAAAAGAAGGTAACCAATTCGACATCTGATGTGACCCGTTTCCAATGCAAAAACTTACGTTCAGTTTCTCCAGTGGTCGACCAAAGTACTTTGTTACGTACGCCTTCAGGGCATCATTGTACCGCACCTTTGCATCCTTCTTAAGCTGTTCTAACACCCCAACCTTCAACTGCGACAGTAACGAGTGCATCCGGTGATAGTTTTCCATCTTCACCACCTGGTGCGGTGTCTTGGGATGGTCGATCGCGTTCACCGGGATGTATTCAAAGATCGCTTCCACCAGCTTGAGATACCACTTGTCCAGGTCGTTCCTTCGCTCGGTTTTTTTGAAAATGGCCTCAGCCGTCACGGCAAATTCCTCAAAATTATCCACATACGGAAGCAGCCCGCATTTGGATCGCTTCGGAACTTTGGCCTCCTGAATGGACTGCAACTGTAGGTTCATGAATTTGTCAAAATTTCGCTTGACGTGAATCAGCGCCGAAGCAAACGTCATGCTGAGGAACGACTGCGCATCCTGGGCAGACATAACGTGCTGCGTCAAACGAACCAGGACGTAGAGAGAATAGCTGGAAATATGAATCAGCGACTTAAAGTATGAAATTTTAATCGTAACTTTCAACTACTCACTAGCTATCCAACTTCTCAAAACTCAGGATAAAACTGTTGAGTTCGTGTTCCAAATTGCTGAATAACTCCCCCATCATCCGCCGTACGTCTTCGTTAATCTGCCTGTCTAACCGCTTCTGGGGAATGAGGACCGCCGTGTCTCGCTCATCTCGCTCTTTGTCATGCAAAGCAGCCGTCATATCCAGCGTCGTCTGAGTGTTCTTACCGGTGGGACTTATCACGTCCAGTTGGAAGAACGCTATACAAAAATGCTGCTCACTGAGCGCAACCGGTTCCAGCTCGGCTAGCACCTTCTCCAGAATCGAATCAAACTTCTGCCTCTCTGCCGGCTCGGCTCCAGCACTCCAAAGCTCCCTATTCACGCCCAGAATCCCGTACGGTTGAGTCGGTTGTTTGCTACTCTGCTGACCTAGTTTCAGCTTATTGCTCATGGAACTAGAGTTCAAATCTTCCCGCGATCCGAATCTTCGCCCCGAAATTGACTGCTTAGCCGCCTCGAAGAACAATCTTATATCTCGATCGTACACTTTACTTAACGAACTAGTGTACACTTTGATCAGCCCATCATAAGCCTTGCGATCCATAGCTTTCATCCAATGCATCAGCTCCGCGTACGCCGACAGCTCCTTATGTACGGAATTGTGTTTCGGCAGCGTTAGATCACTCGAGTGCTGACCTTGCGAATCGCCTAAATTACCCAAATGTATAAATAAATTGTTCAGATGCCGACTAACTGTTTGTGAGAATTTAGCTTTCCACTTTTCAAACCGTTTTCGTTGATCTTGAACCGCCGTCAATCGCAGCAAGGCCGGATCGATATCACTGTTCATTGCAGTTTGCAACGCTTTACCGGCTGCGATGGCCGCCGGTAGTCCCTTCGGCGTCAGATCCGTATCCGATAGCGCCAATTGATGCACGTGCGGGAGATCTAACTGGAAGACAACCTTCTCCAGCTCCTGTAGCAATTTCACATTGTTCGTGTTGGCAATTTCGATCATCTGGTTCTTCTCCCCCATCTTTTCCATGGTATCTCGAATGTGGCACAGGATCTCATCGTAGTCGTCCAACCGTTTCTCCACTTTCTCCGCCTCCGAGATGGCTGCTTCGATTTGATCCATCAGGGCATCTACCTGTTTCTCCGACGCCAGCACACTCTGAATATTCGCCCCATCCAACTCTTGCAGATTCTTGCCTAGCTGTTCCATAAACTGTTCCGCATTACTAATTGCATAATCGCACTCCCCGATCAGTTTGCTTAAATTGGTCTCCTCCTTCTCGGTCAACGCGTGAAAATCCTCACTCTCCACCATATCGTCCAGCTCATCATCGTCTTCATCTGCTGCTCCCTGGGTACCCATCGTTGCAAACTTTCCATCCGCCACAGCCTTTTCCGGCGAACGCTCCGTCAGCCATGCTCTCGGAACATTCTTGAACACCGGCCGCTCCTCGGCCAGGACATGTTTCTGCAGCTGCTTCCACAGCACCGTGATAAAGTTCTGTCGCTCGTGCAGGTTCGCCGCAAACCAACGGTACACCTTCTCCAGGCACAGATCGAATTCATGCGTCTCGGGTGACTCATTGCGTCCATCCACTCCCTTCACCTCCTCCAGTGCCCACGTTCGTTTCTTCTTCCATATTCCCTTGTCGTACTGTTTGACCTGGCAGACCGAAATCACCATCCGCGGTTTGGTGCTTGAGATCACGCACAGATAGGACGTCTTTTTTTTCTTCAGCAGCTTGCTCACATTGCACACCGATAGAATCCGTTCTTCGAGGGCATCGAAAATTTCCTTCTGGATGATGTACTTGATACCGGCTGCCATTTCCGAGGATTCTTACGGAGCCGGGCGACAATAAAATCTCCAACCAGCACTAGCTTCGGATGCTACTGGAACTGCGATATTCTTATAGGCCACATAAAAGCACTTTTAAAATGATTTACCTAGCGAAAATTGCAAAAAATTGCTCAAAATGTAGGTGGATCTTCTGTGAATGTTTTTGTTGACATATTTTTTCTCTCCCGTTTGACAAGTCAGCAAAATTACGATAGACGTCACAGTGATGATTAGGGATGTTCAGATTTAGCTTGTATAATGAGTGTTAAGTTTTTATCGGGTCTTTAAAATTTAGACTCTATTCAGGCTGTGAACCATTTGCCAAGTAAATTTAACTCGTGGTTAAAAGTGACATTTTGAAAGTTATTTTCTATGTTCGAAAATCCCCGTGCTGTCGATCGACCGGTTTTCAAGCCATGGTTGTCAAAATGTAACTTCTTGTCTGTCAGAAATAACCATGCTCGGATACCCTAATAAAAAATAACCATAAACGAACGATAACCCAAATCATTGAACTATTCCACAAATTGTTTGGATGATACCCAGAACACGTCGTTAAGCAAATTAACCATACAATTTTTATTAGGGTAGCAGGGTTAATCGATAACTTTTCATCTGTTAAATTTTAACCAAAAGTTAAAATAATCCACCAAATGGTTCAGAGTCTCCGATATAGATTGTGCCTAAATCAATCACGCTAAGCATACATTTAACTATCATTTGAGTTAATTGAGTTTTACCTCTACATTTAGGGTGACGGATTTTGGGTAAATATTAGGCAAATTTGCATTAAACTTTCTTATATATGGATTAAATTTTCCAATAGGCTAAAACTTGACCTTCCTAATAAAAATATAATGGTTATTTTGCTTAACGACATATTCGGGGTATCATCCAAACCATTTGTGGAAAAGTTTGACTATTTGGGTTATTGTTCGTTTATGGTATTTGTTTATTAGGGCTCTCACGGCCATCTTGAAAAAGGCTTGATGATGCAGATTTCCAAATTTTGCACGGCGAGGTATGGGAGTAGCATTTCCAGCCCAAAACGCAAACCGGTTGGACATGAGTGTTTCCGATTTGAATGAAACATTTCTCACGTGTTCGCTGCTACTAATGGTTGCATTTTTCATTTAAATATGATTTTTTCCTCCAGAGTAACTTTTGAAAAGGGCGTATAAAAAATGGATTATTTTTTTTCAAAAAATCATAACTTGAAAACTTTTGATCTGATCAAAATGGCATATGAGAAGAAGTTTTAGGTAGTTAAATTATCTTTGCGGAAAAAATACATTGAAAGAAAAACTTAGTAAATAAGTATATAAAAAACGTAAAACGATGATTATCTCAAAACATCCCACCTTCGATCTCTATAATTTTTTTTTCAAGAAAACTGAAAAAATGCCCTAATATTTGGTGAAGAGTGTATACTGATAACTTTCTTAAAAAAAATCTATAATTTTTGAAATTTTTGTTGGTTTTTACAAGTTGGTGAAATTGCATATTTTTTAGTAAAATAATAATTTATTTGGATTCTACGCATAATTTTCAAAAACTTTGCTTATATAAACTTTTTTCCTTAGTCTAGCCGTTCTCAAGTTAATGCAATTTAAAAAAAATAATTATAATAATTTTCTACATTTTGGGCCATTTTCAAATGTTAGTCGTGATGTCCAGCAACGGGATGTTTTTCCATGAATATATATTAAATAACAAACAATTCATTCTCAAATATGGTAGCTGTCAGACTTACCCGTTTCTATTTAGACGCAGCGGAAAAGAAACAAGTTTATAAGTAAATACTCTCAAATATACCCAAATAATCAACAAACCCACTCATGTGCCTTTTTTCTGTCCTCTATTAGTTGTATACCTGGATATAATTGTGTATGTCATAACAGAGGCTCAAAACATAAACAGGTAAACAAATATGTTATTAAACCTGTAATTGAGATAAATTCTCTAGGTACTTCTCTGACGTATACCATATTGTGCCTTAAGAGCTCATCCCGCGATATCACAACTACATAAAAAGGCACCCCGCGGAGGCTTCTTACACTCACACTTAAAAAAGTTTGCTATAATGTACCTAATGAAGATAGGTATAATTTTTTTTTCCTTTGGTTTGTTTTTTCCGTCGATCTTCACTGAAACAAATCGACATGTACCGTTTACTGGATCCATCTTATAACATAGCAATGTCAGCTGATGATTGATAGATTCCATTGTATTATCACTTTAAAACTATTACTGCGATATGGAATGATTTCTATCGTAATTTCACATACTTTGTACTTGATAATACTTTGCTTCGAACGTGGTTAGCGATAGGTAAAAAGTATATGAATATTGTCTGATATATTTCATGGTGAAAAATTGTTGATATGTCATGTTGATATATGTGGGAACAGACATCTAGAAAGTAATGGAAAATCATATAAGTTTGCATTATTAGAAATTGACGTTTGTTGATATGTCGCGTGTAAACAGACATGTAGAAACTATTGGACTGTCATTTAACTTTGCAGTATAGGAAAACATGTATATCTCATATCTCATTGGAATAGCTTCCTTTGATTTTTGAGGTTTAAAGATTGTAAACAGATTTATCCCAATCATTATATAGTCATATAGATTTGCCTTTTAAGAAATCCAACAGCAAACATTTGTTTTGGCATGTTTTTCTGGGATGAATATCGCTCAAAATAAAATACATCTTACATGATTGCTCTTCATAAATTATTGAAACAATTTTGACGTAGGACTACGTCTTTGATTTCTATATGGGGGTACACTTTGTGAAAACCGAAAATGGAACATGTAACAAATTAAGAAAGATTTTGAACGTTAATAACTCAGCTGCCCCTGCTCCACTTTCAATAATTTTATCACCAATCGATCCGAAATATGGCTACGCATCGATAACAATGCTTCCGAATGTTGATTTTCAACAAGAAACTATTGAAAAACTGGTAAATGACTGGTAATTGTCCAAAAGCGTCGAATTAACTAACAAATCCACCAATTACCTACATGCATATGCTGCTTCTCCAACACAGTCGTCAGAGAGTAGTAAGTAGACGAAACAAGTCGAAGTGGCATTCGCCTCCGATCCTCGGGCGCGTGCAAATAGGGAGGATGGAATTGCACAAATATTTTGCACACTCATCGCCATATTCAGAACCAAACGCAAATTCTTCAAGATAACCACCATCCGTCGTCTGGCTCGCCATGGCGGTGTCTGACGTATCTCTGGTCTGATTTAAGAGGTGTGCGGAAAGTGTTCCTGAAAAATGAGATCCGTGATGCTGTCACCTACACTAAACACGCCAAGCGTAAGCGGCCATGGATGTCATCTACGTTTTGAAGACGCACTCTGTTTGGTTTCGGAGTTTAAATCATCATCAACTTTGGCAGCAAAACGGCTCTTTTCAGGGCCATCAAGCTTATTACAGTAAAGAGTAGGAATAGAATTCATCTGCCTGTTTGTCCATATTCAGAACCAACGACCACACAAAATGCTCATGCAATCAAACTGGCCGCAGTGGTACAAATTATTTTGATCAACCTTGATTAACTTTGAATCGCCACGGCCGGATATTTTCGATGGAAGAAGCAACAATCTAGCATCTAATTCGACGAAGACGGCAGGAAACATTTGTGAAGGCGAGTTATTTACGAAAGAGAGTGTCGATGAAGAGAATCGATCAATGTAGATAGGACCTATTGAAAAGTGACGCGAGATTTGTTTTCCGTACTGAGCTCCAATGCTACCGACGTGCCAGGAAGGCAGCTCCCACACCTGGACCCTACCTATCGACCCATCAACTCATGAACCGGGGACCAACGGCTTTACTTCCCGAAGGAAGGCGTGATCAGAGATGTTATGCCTTAGAACATGCCGGTGGCGCCGACTGAGATTGGACCCAGGCCTGCTGTGGTGACAGGTAATCACGCTAACCACCGGCACCGATATCTTTCAGGGTGATATCACGGCGAATGAGAACGACCCAAATTTGAGTTTAGTTATCTCAGATATAAGAAATAAAGTGCAGGATCTCAGCGATGAGTAAATTTGCCTCATGTTTTCCCAGGTTTTTCAACGATTTTCCAGGGAAAAATTCCCGAATTTGAGAAAAGTAAAGATTGGATTCACTCAGTCTATTGGTACTACTCCGAGACTGAATAAAGTTTGCGTCAATTTCCTCATTTTCTGGCAGATTTTTTATGAAACCATGAGACAAATTTACTCATCGCTGAGTTCCTGCACTTTTGGCAATTATGAGTGAACTAAACTCAAATTTGGGTCGTTCTCATTCGCCGTGTATGCAAAAGGAAAAAAAGCCAGTGTCGCTACTTGATAGCAAACTACTCATAATGGGAGGAGTCTTTGTAGCTTTTATACCACTTGGTTGCACATCATTCTGCTTTAACCTGAAAAGATATAAAAGAGCACTGCTGTGTGGAATTAGCTCATTTTCGCTTCGGATGGCGTGGTGAACAGCAATGCGCCAAGCGTCATCGCAAAGTTCTTCGAGATAACCGCCATCGGTCGTCTGGCTCGCCGTGGTGGTGTTAAACGTATCTTCGATCTGATCTACGAGGTGTACTGAAGGTGTTCCTGGAAAATGAGGTCTGTGATGCTGTCACCTACACTATAAACACGCCAAGCGTAAGTGGCCATGGATGTCCTCTTCAATAAAACGGCCCTTTTCAGGGCCATCAAGCTTACATCAGTAAAAAGTTGAAATAGAATTTATCTGAGCTTGTTTGTCCAGAATCACAACCCCCAACGACTACATAAAATGCTCTCCAGAGTTGTAATCTTGTAACCAAATTTGGAATCAGGGGTGCAGTGCAAGTGATTTTGATTGATTCTCTTAATCTTAAATTTCTTTTTGAAAAAGATTACTACAAATTTGGTACGCCTACAATTCAAAAACGGAAAGAGTTGAGATAATAGATAATTGATTAATTGAAAGAACGAAATGCTCTTCACATTTGTTCCGTCCACTAGCGGTCCTACGTCAAGCTTCCGTTCGTGCCCCTAGGCACAGACCCTTCTACTTTTCAACGATGTTATCGTACACTCATTAAATTGATTAGTTGATATTGTTGATATTGTAAATATTGCTAACAACAATGATACTGTATTGAATAATCTTTGTTTGTTATTG